GCATGACTGCAAAGTTCAGAAGAACTGCCGCTTGCTACATTTCAGTAGTATGACACATCTGACAGAGCGCAATAAATTAAGCTAATAAAATGAAGCTGAACTGAGTGACTGTACCAGTACACAAAGCAAACACACAGGGTTTAAGTCTCAAATGTTTCTTTCAGAACTCTGTATGGTACCTGCAACATCACGCATTCTGACCAGGACACCAAACAGCTAAAGGTAGGGCAAATTATTTCCTAGTCTGTCACAGTAACATGAAGTACATCAGTCTAATAATAGCTGTATATATTCCTCCTCTTCAATGATCTTTAGATGATTCAAAAATTGAACATTTTCTTTTCACTCAAATCAACTCGCCAGTTTCAAAATAAGGTCTAAACGTGTTACATTTCGGTCTGTTCATGTCTTGTTAGCTCCTTTCCACATACATAAAGTAATAACGAAATTTGCAGTTGGGTCAGATTCTAATCATTAATCACCTGCAATGATAAAACCAGTACTGTCATTGCTGAGACAGTATTCCTTTAGTTACAAAGGACTGGAATCACAGGAAAAAATAATGCTGTGGCATTATGGATCTGGTGAGAAGCCTGAGGTATTGCTCAGGAGCAGAGGTTAAAAGAGCACTGCCTCACACATCAGTTCAAATCTTTACCTCCAGTAGAGGTCAATCAAATTGTGAAACTGGCCTAGTATCGGGGCCTTAACTGGACTCCTCTTTTCCCTTAGTTTTCATTAGTGTCAGAACTGAAAGTGATAGCCCAGTTAAAGCAGCTTCAAAGAAAAAAGCTTTTACATTAAGCCCCCCCTTTTCCCTGCAGTAACAAACATATGAACTACTTTACACATTTTACAGCCCATGTAGCTTTCGCATTTCACATTTTTTTACATGGAGATAGCTCATAATTGCCAACAAGCATTCAAATACAAATGATAAAAATCTCCTCAGGAAATTCCTAAGCAAACTGCTGGAAATGATCTCTATACCTCTCCTGTTTCTTATACTGGTGGTCATCCTCAGACAGAATACTGAGCAAGGCAGATTTTGTCCAACTCAATACAGCCATTCTTCTGAGCACAAACTACTACTTTGTCCTCTGAAGCCTGCAGGAAGTCTGAAACAATGGCTGAGAAGTACTGTCTTCGTATCCCTGATCGCTTAACTGGACTATCAACTAAAGAGCTCCATGATGCTTGAATGGAAAATGGAATTCATTATTTTAATTTTTGTTTTCTAGTGTCTATCCTCTTAAGGAAGCAGGACAAGTAAGCGCACAAATACTCGTGATACCGACTGCAGTAACAGAAGCTATACAGAACGTAAGCCATAGTATACAATGTATATGCACTGTATAAAGGGCTCCACCTGTACTCACTCACTGAAATTGACGTCATCTGTCTTAAACTCATTCATATTTCAGATTGTAGCTCTAGTTCAAAATAAGTTCAGTCCCCTGAACTATTGTTTTCTTGCTCTGTATCCTATAGGTGGGAGGGCATACAAAAGGATTTGAACCCGAGTCTGCGTTCAATACCCCTCCAATAAAGAAGATTCTAGACTGACAGCATTGAGTTCTGTCTTAACTGGAAGAGTCCCTCACACTCTCCTCAAAAATTTGCTTTTGAGCTTCTACCTTTGGAATTTATCACTGATCAACTGTTACTGAAACGCAATGCTCATTTTTATCAGGACAACTCATATCTAAGCTATATATGGTGCGTTTAAATAAGAGCCTCACTGCAAGAGAAGGCAGCAACACCACTTAAGCTAGCACACAATACAGCAGCAGTCAGAGTGGCATACTTAACTGCAGGCTGGTAGCTTGACAGCATAGCTCAGGCTGAAATCTTTCGCCCACTAAAATCCACACTACTTCAAGCAGGCTTCACAACACCCAACATACTTACATGGTAGCAGGGATGCTGCAAGATATCCACTGCTACATGACTTTCATTTGTGGCTCTGTTTATTTATCTAAATCTACAGTCTCCACAAGCAAGATGCTTCAGCAACAGACAAAGCCTCCCACCGTAACAGTAACCTTACCACTCAAATGGCAGCACAGCATTCATGCAGAGCCACTCTTGTACCTTCATTCTGGGTACAAGATATTCTTCTTGCTTTTAAGTACACCATCTCACTTAACTGAGGAAAAAAAATTCTATTTCTTTCTCCCAGTTACTAAGACCATCACAACACTCCAGAATAAAGTTTGCCTAACCACCGGTTTCTTAGATCACAGTCCAGTATCTTTGTGATGCTTCTACATTCAGAACTAATTTAGTTCATGCAAGATTTCAAAATAATATTCAAAAGCACAAGGAGGCAAAGCACAAAGTGCTTTAATGTTGTTTACTGCAAAATCTTAAGTCAAAACTTTAAATCTAGCACACTATTTTGTAAGTCTTACTTTTGTGCAGAGAAATCTCACGCCATGTATCCCAAACTTGGCACACTACCGCTTACAGTTAGGTCTTTTACATCATTTATATAAAAATATTTCAATCAGATTTAAAAAGCACCATGCAAACTTGCAGGCTTTTTTAATTAGCCCTCTCCCACCCCGAGCAAAAAGCCATTAGAAGCATCATTTCTTCCACCTTAAATCTAGTGACAGAAGTATCTTCCTGGATCTTCAGTAGTCCCATTTTCTAAAAACCTCCAAGGTATGTTCGGCTGGTTAAGACATGAAATTTATTCATGTTTGTAAAAAGACTTTCTCTACTAGTAGCACATAATTTTCCTTGGTCATCTTCTGTAGCCCCTAAAACAGTGTGAAAATTAATAACGGAACGTTTCCACTAAATACGCTTAGCACTGCCCATATCTACCTTCTTCCGTGCTAATTGAGAGACTCATCTCTTTTTTCATTAAGCACACTACTCCTGGAAACAGGTCTCTGCTATTGCTATTTGATATGCAGGAATAACACAGTTCTCTGGCATCTATCTAGTACTGTCAATCCTATATCAGGGAGCACCCCAAAGGAACGTTTTGGAATATACAGAACAAAAACAATGTGAGGTACTTCAGGTACCTGAAGCATCACCTAGAATTCTAAATTTTGTTTTGCCTCTACTCTGACTCCTGAAATCAGAAGAATAGCTATTCTCATCAATTTTTACTTCATATATGACATACAAATAGCATCTCTTCAGAGGTTTCTCTAATTTTCCATATTGGCTCCATACCAAAGAAAAAATCTCTTTTCTGATTGACAGTACCTTTACAATCTGAGAAGCATCATAAACCTACTCTTCTGACCTTCTAATACAAGTTATATACAGATCTTTTCAAAATATCTAACATACTACTTACCAAACTGCAGCTGTTATTATCCATTTCTCTTGCTTTCCACAATCCTTTTTCCATCAAAAAAGGAGAAAAAAATGGACTGACTCAGCTAAGATGGGTAACTTTGACTTACCATCTGAATAACTTCATCAAATGGTGGCCATAAAGCTTCTGTGAGCAAAAGATGGAGACTGCTCTCATCATGCTTTTTAAGTACATGATTAATAGTTACATTGTCCAGGAGTCACTCAAGCAGAGAGTGTGGAGTTATTCCACGTTTCCAGTACGTCCTGTACCAGCCTATGCAGCATAGCTACTTTGCCTTTGTAGCTCTTGTAAAGTACAAGCTGTAAAGGAACAGCTGAAGTGACTACAGACCTGATGTGCAACAGCTAGTAGGTTTTTCATATACTCATCTTTATTCAAAAAAGATAACGTACAAAACATGGCACACTGAAATGCCTATCCTCCTCTGGAACATTGTATTTGTTTTCTTTCCAGTAACATAGTATTTATTTCTTT